AGCGAAAGGCATAAGCGCTCCAATTGTGTGTAGATATGTTGTTCTGTTATTTGTGTAAAGGGATGTGTGCACCTTTGTACATGTACACGGCTGTAAGTAAACACATACACCTAACATACACTTGACTGATACAATACTAGGAATTTATCAGGCACATCTGTTATACCGTGGCATCTGTTGACTTTAGGAAGGCCAAGGTCACGAAGAAGGACGAGGAGGAGAAGAAGAGTAGTAGCATTAGAAGTAGTAGTAGTAGTAGTAGTAGTAGTAGTAGTAGTAGTAGTAGTAGTAGGAGTAGTAGTAGTATAACAGTAGTAGTAGTAGATGGAGAAAAATTGAAGTAGTAGTATTAGGAGAATAATTATAATAATAATAATAATAATAATAATAATAATAATAATAATAATAATAATAATAATAATAATAATAATAATAATAATAAAGGAAGAAGAAGAAGAAGAAGAAGAAGAAGAACAACAACAACAACAAAAACTAAATCCCTCAAAATTTCGCCATGGAAGAAGAAGAAGAAGAAGGAGAAGAAGAACCAAATCCCTCAATATTTCGCCATTTTTAATAAATTTACAATACATTCACCCAGCAAAATGATTGTTTTCCATAAACTGAAGTAAAATACAAGTATGCATGTATGTATGTATGCATGCATGAAAGCATAGGCTTATATGTACGTGCGTATGTATGAATGTATGTATTTCTCTCTCTCTCTCTCTCTCTCTCTCTCTCTCTCTCTCTCTCTCTCTCTCTCTCTCTCTCTCTCTCTCTCTCTCTCTCTCTCTCCCTGTGTGTGCTGTCCACCTGTTCCTTTATGTGGCTCCCCGCACCATCCCATTGTTTTCTTTCTTTTTTTATCCTATTGACATGGAAGTTGGAGTGTTGAAAAACTTCTTATTGTAAAATAAAGAATCCAACTTTTTTCAGAATTTTTTTATAGACTGAACAATTTTTTTTTTTTAGAAAATTTATATAAGCAAATTCTTTTCTACGGTAAAATTTCACTTTTAAATTTGGTCTGAGCTACTTATGTTTGTTTTCTAGGCGTAACATTTCAATAATGGTTGGTTCCGGTTTTACGTCAAGGACTCCTTTATCTACCAAGGGCTAGGCCGGTTGCCTTCTTGCGAAGGGCTTGTTTTGGCAGATGTAATCGTTACCCTGAGTGCATGCCCTTGCTAACCTCAGACCGTGACGGGGCGCGAACCCTCGACCTGACGCCTCAGAGTCGCGGACGCTACCGCTTGAGCCACGGTGACTACGATGGATTGGTTTCTATTTTCTTTACTGATTAGGGCACAAGGGGAAGCAAGCCACCTCAACTCTTTCCTGGTCCCAATGGATAACGACGTCAGATAAAGCAGTGCATCCGTAAAACGCTGAGTCAAGACCAACCCTGGTCTGTAAGAGGCTAGTGAGCAGAAGAAACCCTATATGAACAAGGGAAAAGCTGATGATAAAGAAGAATAGTGGTAGCAGTGTTAGATGAAGAAGAAGAAGTTTTCTCATTCATATACAGCTTTTAACAATAATTATAAACCTTTATTTCCATTACCATACAATGGGTATTCGTCAGCCGGGGCAAGCCTCAATCCCCCACTGTGGTGACCAACCACAGCAGTACCTGCCAGTAAACAGCTTAAACTCTCGGTCTTGGACGGGAACCGATCTTTCGACCTCGTGAATGCGAAGCCAGCGCGTTACCACTGTACTAGCCAGCAGGCAAGAGAACAACAGCATATATATCCGGCCGGGAAGGAGATGCAACCTACAGTTCAATTAATCTACAATCATTATCGCAGGTGTGTTCTATAGGCAAGCTGGTTGCCAGGAACTAGAAAATGAGAGACGCTATGACTGTCCAGGACAGCTCGATGTTAAGTCTTCCTTCAGTTACGGTTCTCTTTCTATGCCTACATCAATACCGAATATTCTTGGGTATTCGTTACACATCTCTTACTATCCATTCACATCTGACAAGTCACAACCTTCACCATCTGTTTCTCTTTGTTTCATGTTTTTTTTTCTTTAATATAGATACATACTGTGTTATCATTCGAAATTCGTAGTACTTTTAACTGAATTTGATGGATGGAGAGAGAGAGAGAGAGAGAGAGAGAGAGAGAATCGTGAATGCAACACTAATTTTCTTTCCAATTCTAAAAAAGTGAGGCAGACTAGAAATATGACAAAAGACCAGCCCGAGTAGTAGCAAGTTCAACGGTTCAACTCCAAAAGCGTGTTTTAAGTCACGGACTCCCTTTTCTACCAAGGGCTAGGACGGTTGCCTACTTGCGAAGGACGTGTATTGGCAGATGTAATCGTTACCCTGAGTGCATGCCCTTGCTAACCTCAGACCGTGGCGGGGCGCGAATCCTCGACCTTACGCTTCAAAGTCGCGGACGCTACCGCCTGAGCCACGGTGACTACTAACGGTTCAACTCCAACACCAGTCAAAATGAAATATCCTGCGATGCAATGCTACCCTTAGAAAGAACCCCTCACTCAGGTATAAATCAAAAGGAATGTTGTGTTTAACAGCGCAAAATATGAGTCAGCAGATGGTAGGAGGATACAGGAACAGGTGTTCATGCTTCTTTCTGCTGACCCTATCTGCTAACTCTCTACCTTTCCCTGACCTTGCTAACCTGAGGTCAATTGCCATGAGAGAGAGAGAGAGAGAGAGAGAGAGAGAGAGAGAGAGAGAGAGAGAGAGAGAGAGAGAGAGAGAGAGAGAGAGAGAGAGAGAGAGAGAATGTGTATACTAACAAGAAAAAAATCCACCTTCGTGTTTGGCTATGGATCTCGATGGTATTACATAAGCCGCAGTCTCTTCATATATAATAAAAGGCCAGGTGTGAAATGTTGTATTGCTGATGCTTACATAAAACTTCAGAGTCCTTGATAAACCTTGAGATGCAAAACCTACAACAATCTGGATGTGCTTAGCGTTGTTGCAACACGAAATTCCTTTCTTGTGATACTAAGCTAATTCGCCATTACTTGAAGAAAAAACTAGACAAAGAGTATAGATGCACACACACACACACACACACACACACACACACACACACACACACACACACACACACACACACAGAGAGAGTATTCGGAGAAATACATTTCAGAATCTGATATTCACTGGACGCTAAATAATGTATGTCTTAAGCAACAACAAAGCAAAACGGTACTACTATTACTACTACTACTACAATTACTACTACTACTACTACTACTACTACTACTACTAATAATAATAATAATAATAATAATAATAATAATGAAGAAGAAGAAGAAGAAGAAGAAGAAGAAGAAGAAGAAGAAGAAGAAGAAGAAGAAGAAGAAGAAGAAGAAGAAGAAGAAGAAGAAGAAGAAGAAGAAGAAGAAGAAGAAGAAGAAGAAGAAGAAGAAGGAAAAGAACAAGAATAGTTAACAACAAAAATAATAATAATAATAATAATAATAATAATAATAATAATAATAATAATAATAATAATAATAATAATGTGCATTGTTTTCCAATGTAATAAAGTTATAAATATTAACGGTAAATGGCACAAATCCCTAGTGGTAAGCAGTTTTATCTCATATGCCACCAGCAAACCAAAACTATTTTCTGCATCGCCATGATGACGTAGGCTCATAACGATATCTCTCTCTCTCTCTCTCTCTCTCTCTCTCTCTCTCTCTCTCTCTCTCTCTCTCTCTCTCTCTCTCTCTCTCTCCCGGTGAAGGTATGTTGCTTTCGTAAGCAAATCTAAATGAAACCAGCGCTGGCAAGACACATATAGCTACGTACTGCACTTTGGGAGCGAATGAGTACAAGGCTTGTTAAAAATTTCAGTCGAAATATGTGAAAGGCTCTAAATCCTAGTGTCTTATTAATTCATATGTTAAAGGTATTGGTAGTCACAGTGGCTCAAGCGGTAGCGTCCGTAACTCTGAGGCGTCAGGTCGAGGGTTCGCGCCCCGTCACGGTCTGAGGTTAGCAAGGGCATGCACTCAGGGTAACGAATACATCTGCCAAAACAAGTCCTTCGCAAGAAAGCAACCGTCCTAGCTCTTGGTAGAAAAGGGAGTCCGTGACGTAAAACCGGAACAAACAAACAAACATGTTAAAGTATTGCCTCAGAATTCGTTTTAATAATCAGAAGTTAAAGCTATTTATACAGTACTTCCAACTCAAAACCGATCATTTCTACACATATTTCCAGGTGGATATTATGGGAACGCAGTTGCGTAGTAGTTAAAAAAATACTCGATTGGGAAACGACAGATCCGTAATTGACCCCACCGCGGGGATTTAGGAAGGTCATCCAGTCTTAATTCCCCCGCTCCAACCTGTCTGCATCCACCCAATAATGATGATTAATAGTGACGGGGAAAAAAGAAATCTTGGTGGACAGAAACGTAAACAAAACCAAGTCACGTGTTGTTATTAACTTTTAGCGTATATACAGTATTTACGCACGTAAAGGGGAGGGAGGGCACGATAGCTCAGTGGCAACGAGCGCGAGTCAGAAGGTGACTGACAAGGGTTTGAGTTCACCGTGAGACATTAAGCAAGGCATCCAACCTATGTCCACTCTCATTCATGGGGACCAATTTGACACACAAAACGGCGCGCGCACGCACACACAAACAAACTGAACACGCATAGAGGAAACTGCGCTTACGAAATAGTACAAAGTTTTCTGACTTCTAATGCGACTCCATTATGAAAATTCCATTGAAAATAACCCTATTTCAGCGTATGTATATATCAATAAAGAAATAATGTTTATAAAAAGACGTCGGAATCCAAAAATAGGAAATATATATATATATATATATATATATATATATATATATATATATATATATATATATATATATATATATATATATATATATATATATATATATATATATATATATATATATATAATTTATTTTTTTCCTTTTTTTTTTTAAAGAGCTGGATGGCTATTCCGATCCATTATCTTATGGGACCGTGGTAGCTCAGTGGTTAGAGCGCTCGCCTCGAAAAGTGACAAATCTCAACCCTATTGCGAGACGTTTGAAAGGACTTCCAGCTTTAATTCCTCTGGCCCAACCTGTGTTCATCCCCAATCGATTGGGGATAAAAAGAGACAAAATGGGAAACATTAACATTATGTGCTTTGGCTGCTGAGCTGACAGGGAATATCTCTTTGGAGGGACTTCCTGAATGGTGCCAACTGGAACTCTCCTCCTCCTTCTGTCTTTCCTAATTCTTATGACCTTTCATCCTTCAAAAAGCAGATCTAATGTCATCTCAGAGCCTAGTCCTCCATATCTCTGGGTCCTCTGTACTTTGACTATTTTTTTCTGTCTGTCGTTTTCCTTTGTATGACATTGTCTCATCTCTGCCTTGTCCTTAACCTTTTTGTTTTCCTTCGTCTTGGTATTTTCTCGAGCCCGGGGCTTAATTGATGAGGGCAGTTTCTGCTTGTCCCGGTGTCACACTCATAAAAAAAAAGGTACTACAGCTGTTGAGCTATTGAAGAGGTAGTCATATAACAGTAACTCAACAGTCGTTAAATTTTCAAAAATAACAGCTACTACGGCAATATTTTTTATTGTATGAGAGCAGTTTACCACTGGAATTCACTTTGAGAAAAAAAAATATGCTGAAGACAGCCATTGTTCCGGTTTTACATCACGGACTCCCTTTTCTACCAAGGGCTAAGACGGTTGCCTTATTGCGAAGGACTTGTTCTGGCAGATGTAATCGTTACCATGAATGCATGCCATTGCTAACCTCAGACCGTGACGGGGCGCGAACCCTCATCCTGACGCCTCAGAGTCGCGGACGCTACCGCTTGAGCCACGGTGACAAAAAAAAAAAAAAAAAAAAATATATATATATATATATATATATATATATATATATATATATATATATATATATACAGTATATATATATATATATATATATATATATATATATATATATATATATATATATATATATATATATATATATATATATATATATAAACTAAGAGTAAGTAGACTAAAAGCACTAGGAGACGGAAAATTGGGAGAACATATGGCTCATCCCCCTACAATACATACAAGTTAACATATCTGCTAACGCGTAACCTATCTCTTAATGTAACATTTTGGGAATTCAACATTAAATTTAAGTAAGGAAAGTTTTCTAGAAACTTGGCAAAGAAAGAGAATGCAATGGAATTCTGTGCAAACAATCTTTTCTGCACCACAAGGCCGAGCTTTGGGTATAAGAAATCCCAGAGAAAAAAAAACCGAGTTTGCACACCAAGTACCTCCTTTATTGTTCGTTTGTTTTACGTCACGGACTCCCTATTCTACCAAGGGCTAGGACGGTTGCCTTTTTGCAAAGGACTTGTCTTGGCAGATGTGATCCTTACCCTGAGTGCATGCCCTTGCTAACCTCAGACCATGACGGGGAGCGAATCCTCGACCTGACGCCTCAAAGTCGCGGACGCTACCGCTTGAGCCACGGTGACTACTTAATTACGCTCTCACTAATAAATAGAATCTCTCTTGCAAGCCATTCATCCGTAAAATTCTTCATATACACCTATTGTATATTGTAGCTATCCTGGGGACCGTCCTGATGTAGTGGTTAGGAAACTCCATTCGAGAGGTGGCAGATCCGCGATCAAGTCCACAGTGTGGCGTTAGAAAGGGCATCCAGCCTTACTTCCCCAGTACTAATTTGTCTGTGTCCGCCCCATAATGGGAATTTAAGGTGACACATAAAAACGAAGTGTATATAGTAACTGATCCTAAAGCCTGAAATTCCCACGAAATGATAGTTCCCATTTTTCTATTTGGGACGGATTATCTCTACTTAATCCAATGGCAGTTAGCAAACAATGGTTTCTCTTACGTTTCTCAATATTACAACATTACTAAACCAACATATATCCTCCCTCGACAATACATCAATTCTGAATAAGATCATATATATATATATATATATATATATATATATATATATATATATATATATATTATATATATATATATATATATATATATATATATATATATGCGCAGTGTTGAAGAAAATAACTTTAAAAAATAAAACTATGTTGGCAGAAAAAAGTAACAAATTGCACTGAATTCTGGAAGGACATTGGCTTTGAGTCATAATGGGAGAGAGAGAGAGAGAGAGAGAGAGAGAGAGAGAGAGAGAGAGAGAGAGAGAGAGAGAGAGAGAGAGAGAGAGAGAGAGAGAGAGAGAGAGAGAGAGAGAGAGAACACGACCTTCTACTTGTTTGACACCCAACGTAAGACGAACATTTAAACTGTAAAAATCCCTTAATTCAAGAAAACGAATAAAAATTTTTGTTTTAATGCAACGACACTCCATTTAAAAATATTGAGAGGGATTACTAAAGAACCTCATATGGTCATCCTACTTCCTCCAATGAAGATACTTAACATTAAAGTCACAAACATGCAAGAGAACTAAAAAGATCAGGCCTACACGAGCAATACCTTTTATCTCATTTGACTTGTAGAAATTATAAAATGTAGACCTAGAGCAAAGTAATCCCCTTATTGCTTTCTTTATTTAATGTCGGCTACCCCCCAATTAAAGGGGGAAACAGCCGAGGTAGATAGAATAAATAGATAGATAGATAGGCCTAATGGTTACAAACTTACCTGCCTAACGGTGGGTTTAACTTCATGGTGGTCATGATCTGAACCTTGGGACATGGGCGACATTGGAGACATGGGTTCCTCTGTATCTACTCTCATCTGTTCCTCCTGCAACAAAACCGAAAAAGACATTTTTTGGAGATTTAATTACTCTTGAAGTAATACTACATCATGAAAGTTAGCCTTTGTAATATGTTTATGCAAGCTGCAAGGATGGTTTATATGGATGCGACATAACGTACATCTTTATACAAATTTGATGTTGGAAAACAGGTATATTTCTCAGCTACAGTACATTCCTGACACAGCATAATAATAATGGATTCGGTTTTACGTCACGAACTCCCTTTTCTACTAAGGGCTAGGACGATTGCCATCTTACGAAGGACTTATAATAATAATAATAATCAGCTTGCACGAGGTCATAATAGCAATACAGCCCCATACCTGTGTTAAAAGGAGAGACAATATTTACAGAGATGAAAAACACTGCTTAAAACTGACGTTTTACTCACCAGTTTGGAAGTAAACTGTTGGCCTAGGATGAGGTTTTGGAGGACAAACCTTCCTTGACCTTCATGGCCCCGTGCCAACATGATGTCACACATAAGGTCAGTATTTTTACTGCTACTTGGCTTCCACATACAAAAAAATAAAACGGTGCTGAATTCCTTCTGAGGTCAATGAACTATTTCCTTCACAATATAAATATATATATTTGTGTGTGTACTCTTCTCAAGCACTCTTTCTCTCTTTCTTCATTAAAAATAAATATTCTTTCAAGTCTTTTTTGGCACAGTCCAACGGTAATATTTTAATACATAAATATAATTACACTCGGGATACTGCCATTTGTTAAGAACACAAGACTTTTTTTTATTTTTTTCATTTCCTGTTCCTGTCCACACTATATGTAGAGTCTTCTTGATCCAAAATCATTTAGATTATTCTATATATATAATATATATAGCAAGGCACATCCAAAATACCTCTTGGAAACAAAACTACTAATACTTTTTTTTTTTACCGAAGTTTCTTCTAGATTATCACAGTTAGCATCACAGAGTTCATTCTCTTGGTCCTAAAAATATAGGTTTCTAAAAATAAAAATCACAGGAAGATGTCAGAATAACTCATTTCAGCTGTTAAGATATACTGTGACATAAAAGTATAACGGAGTTGAAAGTATCACAAGAGGATGGGTTACGATAAAAAAAAAATATAATCATGGAATATCTGAAGGATAGTAACGAGTAGGCCTACAGAAATAGGCTATGAACGATATTTAAAAAAAAAATCGAATGTTTTGGAGACCTATTAACTATATTTTTCCTTTATTCTCTGTACAGGTCAGCCTCCTGACAACAGATTTTTATTTTTTATCTTGGAAACGACGACAATGCCTTTTATCTCTCATACCTTGACACACCAATTTCCAATCGAACTTTTAGATCGCTCTCTCTCTCTCTCTCTCTTACATCCAACAGAGAAAAACTGTCGACCATAAGTAGTGAAATACACTCCCAAAACTTCCCACTTTTCACAAGCAGGTAGACATATTTTCAGACCACCAATAAGGTTTATAATTATCAACAAAGAAGAAACCTGTCGCCAAGAACGTGTATATAAGGCGAGTTACCCACAAATACTATACCAAGAATAAAATCACAGGGTTTGAATGTTTGGCATAGACGTCATGTTGTCGTGCTAAAGGGGAAAACTATAAATAAATACAATAATGATAAAAAAGAAGAAAAAAAAACGAGAGAAAAACGGATGTTCATGGGGAAGTCCCATTAAAAGAAGGTGCGCAGGTGGGAGAGGCAAGGGCCTAGTTACTAGCATAGTTTAAATCGGTGTCAGTGGGTATGAAATCAGCACCAAAACGTAAAACTGGGACCATGGTAATGATCCATTAAAAGAGAAAAGAATAACATCTTAGACTAGCAACGTACTTGAATCCAACAATACGAGCAATTACAATAAATAGAGGCGAGGTACAAACAACAAAGAAAGTGCCTATATCTTATGAGAAATTCGAAGCCATCTTGGATCAGTAACAAAATCGAGAAAGATATAAAATTTCAGAAAGTAACCCCAAGGAAACAAACACAAAAGAGAGGAGAGAAGACTCAAGCAATGAAGTAGGACAAACGAAGCTCTGACTGACAGAGTCGAAACAAGGTAAAATTTGAAACAAAAGCAGCATATTTGGTATATGCAGTAAGAGTACTTACTCTTACAACTTGCAACTTTACTTTCTGCCTCGAAGAAGAAAAACATACACACATACAGTCACACCCCACACACACACACACCCCCCCACGATATATATATATATATATATATATATATATATATATATATATATATATATATATATATATATATATATATATATATATATATATATA